ATAAAGACAAACTACCTAAATTTGCCTCTTCTATGTGTATCTACCAATTTGAATGCAGCTGCGGAGCCAGCTACATCGTCGTATTTCCGAACATCATCCAGCATTGTTAAGCAAGGGACAAACAAGAAATATTCGAAGTTCTATTTTAGCACACCTTGTTGATACTGAGCGTAAGGTTGATGTGAATACTGCATTTAAAATTGTTTATCGCATTCCGACTAATCTACGAGTTCCTCTTCTACAGACAGCTGAAGCAATCGGAATCCACCAGAAGAAGCCAAGCCTATGTGTACAGAAGAAATTTGTACAGCCACTTTCCTTACCGTGGCCATCGTTACAAGACAGGACTACGTCGCCCCCCTCCCCCTAAACCTATAAAAATTATAATTGTCCAAATTATTTTATTTTTATTTATTTTGACCAATTCATCTTTAATTATGTGTTATCCTTGTAAAGTTAATTTATTCTAACCATTTCTACCTTTTAAATGTATATTGATTTTGTTCGTTAATTATCAACCCATTGACATTTTGACACTGTTTAATTATTGCTAACAAACATATCGCCACTTGTTTGGTAAACTGTTGTGTATTGTAATAATCATGCTATGTATATTAGAGTAGAGCCAATGATGAGGATCTAATTGAAAAGTAAATATTTCTTCGCTTAATCTTTCTGTTTTCTGCTATACATACTAAGATTTTTGGTCGAAATATTCAAAGGATTCTGCATTTGGCCAGCATCTTCAACATATACATATACTCTGAATCAATAAGATCACTTCCTGGGTCACAAGTCAATAATCCCCAGATCGGTAAGGTTGACAAAGGGGGTCATAATATCCATACTCTTGCCTTATATTATTCTATTAATGGTATTCCAAAGTGCGCGCAGTGCAATTTATCCCAACACCACCTCTTCATCCTAACAGACTCATTTCAATGTAATCGAAAATTTGAAGACAAAAAAACAAAGACATTCCATTCATAAATTCATAAACGTATGTATTTACATACAATCAGCATCTTGTCATGTGAATGAACACAGGATCGACAGGATCAAGTTCTAATCAGTACATATTGATTGCATTGTTAGAACGAGGCACCTTGATACGATCCAGATTTTTAATTATAATGTCATGCAAAGTTGCCTAAATACCAAAACAAAAGAGAAAAGTCATAGGTTATAGGTTAAAAACCCTTAGAAGATATATATATATATATATGTAGATTCCGGACGCTTAACTGTCTTTCGAGAGAACATTTTCAGCGCTAAGTTCAACTGCAACTGTACGGGAACAGTATATTGCTTTTTAATATATCTACAGACTACAATTTCACTATTTGATTCACCTGAATCGTATGTCATTTGCTATGCAGGTTGAAATGATCAGAACACTAGACGACCATTCCGCTCTCTCTCTCGAGGGTTGAGCGTACATATCGTCGGGAAACTTGGTTTAACTCAGGTCAGAGAGAACTGAATCACAGTTTAGACCACCACCCGGGTGATGTAAATAGTTTCCAACGTCTCATATCAATCAGTAGTGTATACGATTATGTACTTACCCTTCATTTCCTGTTTCCATTGATGGGATCATTCAAATTACATATTCTAGTGAACTGTCACACGTCGAACTGTGTTTGGGTAGTTTACAAATTTCAAATATGATCCAATTAAATTATTTATTGTCTTAAGCTTGAACAATGAATGGGTGAAATGAAAAGGTTGATCCGTTAGAAGTCGACTACCTCGTTACTGAGGACAAAGAGCCACACACAGGAGTGTTCTCAACAGGAAGTCAATCGCGAGTCCGGATAGTTAGCTCAGTGGTAATGTCTCTGACTGCAGTTCGCACTGAGTGACACTGGTTCAAATCTCAGAAGGCACATGAGTTCCTCTTCAAGACTGCAGATACGCCTTGCTGATCGACTGACTGGTGAGGGCCAACTAGCACGAAACCTAGGTCAAGCAAGGCTTCCTTTGTTAGTTTGTTTATTAGATATATCACATTGTGAAACAGTATTATTTACTGGATGACGTCTCGAACAAAATTTATTGTTCATAATCATATCAATTGTAATCACACGACTTTGAAACTTGAGTTTTATAGTTTTCTTTGTCTTCTCTTATCTGTCGTAGGGGTAGTACAATTTTCCAGATATCGGGGACAGGTGATGAATCATTCCTATAACATGTATTTGCAGTTGATTTGATAAACAAAGCTTCCTTTGGCCGATTGCCTCCAACCATCTAATAACAACTAGCTGAATTTCTGTTTATTTTTGTCATTACTACATTTTTGATCCCTCGACGGGAAACAGTTCTGGAACTTCCTCACTCCCTTACTATGTATATATATATACACACACGAATGTACAGTCTAGCTGATAAGTTCGTCGAAAAGAAAATTTTCTACGCTGTGATTGTCTTTTTCTTTTTAATTTGAAAGATAGCAAACATACATCATCTTACCTAATTTTTCCGAAGTGAATAACATAAAGATAAATAAAATGAAATGTAACAATGGAGTCGTCAATTGAATATGAAAAAAAAGAATTGACTGTCATTCGATAGATAGGGGGGGAGACTATCCCCCACTAGTTATTTTACACTTCAATGAATTAGAAATAAGACTATACAACATACTGCATAATGAATAAATATTACACTAGAGATAGAATCCTAAAATGCCTTGAAAACCAAGCGCCTGCTCTCATCAACGCGTCTTGACCTCTTCCTACTCCTCCTCAGCAGCA